CAAGGCTGAACCAGGTGACACGGCCCTCTCAGGTCAGCTCTCATACTGTGGACAGGGAGCCTATTTAATGCCACATCTTCTGCACTTTTCTGCTTTTTGTTGGTGACTTCATTGTTTAGAAATGGCTCCCGGGCACAGTGCTGAAGTGCTATGTGGTGTTTCTAAGTGCAAGAAGGCCGAGACATGCCTTACAGAGGAAACATGTGCGTTAGACAAGCTTAGTTCAGGCATGAGTTAGAGAGTTGCCAGCCATGAGTTCAATGCTAATAAATCAACTGTATATTAAATAAGGTATCTTTAAATAGAAACACACATAAAACAAGGTTATGTGTTGATGATCAGTAGACAGAAATGTGATGACCGGCTTGCAGGAACCTAACTGTATTTCCCCTAGGAGCAATGGTTCAGAATTCATTAGCTCAGTGTTCACATGACTTTATGGAACATAACCACTGTGAATAATGAGAATTGGCTGTACACAGCATTTAAAACCTTGAGAGTCAGTGGCATCATTAAAGGAATGATAGACAAAGAAAAATCTAGAAGATTGAGCCCTGGGGTCCTTCAACACTAAAGACTTCACTGTGGTAGATGGAGGGAGGGTATGGCAGCAAGTCTTTTTATTTTGTAATGGAAGAAATTTCAGCAAATTTGGACATGGATGTGAATGATACCAGAGAGAGGAAAACAAAGCAAAACCAAACCAAAATGATGGGGCGAAGTGGGAGGCCAGGGGGGACTGGCTCTGGTTAGGTGAGGGGACGGGCCAGCAAGGTGGAGGAGGCCACCTTCTGCGGGAGCATGGCTGGGACCCCCCAGCCCCAGGAGGGAGGCAGAGGGTGTGGACACAGACACAGGCCGTGGGTGATGTCGGGCAGGAGGCTGTGGGTGCTCCCTATTTGCATCTGTTTGCTCAGAGAAATGAGAAGGAGAGTCAACAGCTCAGGGTGAGAGCAGGGGAGGTGTGAGCATGGAGGCACGGGTAGGTGCAGGCCTGGAAAACGGACATGGTCAGTGAAGCCAGGTCTCTCTTGCCAGGCCCAGCCGCGCACAGATTTGGAGCTGCGAGAGATGCAGTCAGAACAGAGGTAACCACAACACGGGAGGGCAAGGGAGTCCGTGGAGAACACACTGACCAATAAGGGGGCTTAAGGTGCGATGCTGTGTGACGCAGGGGAGAGGGCAGATCAGTGGACCCCTACCTACCCACACAGTGACCCTGTCAGGTTAGAAACCTATGTACGAAAAGCAAAAACTTAGCTGTAGAGAGAATAACTTTTTCCTGAACCTTGGGGTGAGGCAGAATTTCTCACATTGGACCCCAAAGCATACACCATAAAGGAAGGGGTTAATAAAGTTCATTTCATTACTTATGCATTAGTCTGCTCAGGTGTCCATAAGAAGACACCACAGGCCGAGGGGCTCAGACAACAGACCTTCCTTCCAGGAGACGGGAAGTCCTGTATCGGGGCCCAGGGTGGTTCTGGGTCCAGTGAGGACCAGCTCCCACTCGCAGATGCTGTCTTCTCACAGCGCCCTCACTCCGCACAGAGAGAGAGAAACAAGCTCCCCTCCTCTGCTTACAAGGTACAAATCCTAAATGCGGCTGCACCCTCATGCCCTCATCTAAACCAAACCCCCTCCCAAAGGCCCCACCCCCAATACCATCCCCTTGGAGGCTTCCACATATGAATGTGAGGGATACACGTCCATCCACATAAGGAGCCAATTGTAAAGAACACTTATAAGGCAGCTGGGGGAACTGAACTAACTGGATATTGGGTGATATTGAGAATTACTGCTCACGGTGGGGGAGGAGGAGATAAAGGTATTGCAGAGATGTTTTTTTTTTTTTAATTTTGAGTCCTTATCTTTTACAGCCACATAGTGATGTCCGTAACAGATACAATGACCAGATGTCTGGGATCTGCTTCAAAGCAGCCCCGTGGGTGGCAGAGGTGAGGCGAGAGCCCATGTTTTACAGGGTTGAACTGGATGGTGAGTTCAGGAGCGTCCTTTGTACTAGACTATCTACTTTTATATATGCTTGAGATTCTCCACAACAAAAAGCTTTTACACTTTCATCAAAATTTTAAACACTGTAAGACAAAAGCCTCCATAAAGTAAAAAAACAAGATAGAGACTAGAGAACATATAATTCTCAAAGCAGAGGATTTAGTATCTAGATAAAACATAGGAAGAATTCATAAAAATCTACAAGGAAAAAGCAAACCCAATAGAAAAATGTTCCAAAGATGTGCCTATGTGCTAAGTTTATTTGTAACTCTAAAAGTAATGTGTGCAGACTTTGGTCATCTTCCATGGACCTGTGTAGAGCTGTGGTAAGTCTGAGTCACCAGCAAGCACAGTCCCAGCCAAGGCTGAACCAGGTGACACGGCCCTCTCAGGTCAGCTCTCATACTGTGGACAGGGAATGTGGACAGTGGAAATGTTCCTAAGTAGAAACAAAAGAACTGAATTTTCAGATAAGACACAGTAAGAGCTAGTCATTTGCTCAAAGAAGATTTGAGTCTGTTTTCATGGTTTTGCTTTCATAAGCTACCTTAGTGAGAGAAGTCAGAACAATCCAGTACCAATAGGCATAAATTCTATGTCCCACTGCACTGTTTGTTGAGAATCAGTTCCTTGGGCTGATTGCATATGTGGGCTGTGTCCTATGAGGATGCAGACTCCAGAGAATCCTGACCATTCCAAAGCAGCCTTGCATCTGAACCTTTTTACTATATCTTCAATTGATACCCACTTTCCAAAAGGAGTGTTTACAACCAGGAAAGCCACTGTCTGAGGTGGTGCTGCAGTTTTCTCCTGCAGCACCTGCAAAAAGAGCCGTGGCCAGGGGAGGCTTGGGTGCGCCTCCTGTGCCCCACTGGACTCCTGCCAGGCCCTTGCTGTGGCGCAGCGAAGTGTGTCCTGGGACCCGACCACCGTGGGCAGGCAGACCTTTTCTCCCAACTGCGCCCCCTCGTGGCCCTTCGGGAAAGAGCATTGGGGAACAATCCTCAAAGTTCTACCCACTGTACTCTTGATAAGTTTCTGTATATACTTTTCAGGATTTGGCTCCCCTCCTCGCCATGACACATTTGCCAAAATATAATTTTCAGAAAAAAAGTAAAACCATAATTCTCATACAGATATAAAATGAACACATTAAGGATTTTATTTTACTCATACAACAGGAGGAAATGAGGCCAATGTTCCAAATGGTTAGAAGGAAAAACCAAAAGAGCACAAATGTATATGGAGTAAAGGCATGTTGAGATTTCAAATGGAGATAAAACTGGTTTTTCCACAGGAGGGGCAGAGCTGGTTAACTCTCTACCAGACAGGGCAGAATTTACACACCTATCAGTTCCCAAGACTTAGAGTTGCAAAATGCTCACGTACAAGGACCAGGGCTGGAATCAGCCCAGTGTGTGGCAGGCCACGGGTACTCTCCCACCTTCCCACTGAAACAGTTGCTTGTGCATGCCATGAGGGCGTCATTCACTGTGTGATACGGTTTCAGTTTCCTACTCAGGGATGGGGCTGTGGTCTGACATGTCCAGTGGGGCCCTCATGAAATGTGTCAAGAAGGACTTTTCTGTATCATGGAAGGTGGGCTTAGCAACATATGCTACCTAACTGGAGACCAGATCTGTTGTCCCCAGTGGCAAAGCCTCTGGAAGTCAGGGCCCTCTTCATGGTGCCAAAGATAACCGGGACACACCCCTGCAGAGGCCCTGGCTAGCATGCTCTTTGGCAATGCCACACTGGCTAGGAGCACACAATTCCCCCATAACATTCATGCAAGATGCCATGTATGTGTGAATGACCTCCAGGCCCACTTCCCAGCAGAGTGATTTCTGCCACCTCTTGACAAAGATTCTCTCCTTGACCAAGCTCCTCGGAAGTCTCTTCTCAATGAGACCCTGACTTTGGAACTTCTGGGTTCATCTCCGCATTGTCCAGCTTTAGTAAGAATCCTATCCTAAATCGGTTTAGTAGAATCCCTGAGCTTAATCCAGGTCCTCCTCACCATGCCCCAGGTGGTGCCTACCCATTCTGGCTGGCCTTCTGCAAGAGCCTTATTAGGTCCCTTCAGCCAGAACTCCCCTTACCCAGGATGTTTCCTCTTACCAATTTTCCATCCAATGACCCCTCCCTCTACTCCTTGGCTATAAATTCCCACTTTTCTTCATTGTATTTGGAGTTGAGCCCCATCTCTCCGTCACCGTAAACCCCCTGAGGTGGTCCTTACACCTCCTCCTGTGGTCCTGACTAAGGTCATGTAACTGAATATGTGTAATACGGTGTAGCTGAACGGCATTCCCTGAGTAAGGTCAGCCTGCCTGTTCTTTACCAATGTCATGAATGAATAATTTTTTAACACCCTGTGGCTCTGTTCACACAGGTAGCACCACAAAATTACAAGTCAAGACCCTTGGAAATCACTGGCGGCTCTCTGATGTGCAAATCCCCGGGGGCTGCCCGTCCGTCCCTCCTCTCCTAAAGTGTACCTTTCCAAGGCATTCCTTTACTCCATATGAATTTGAGCTTCTCGACTTTTCTTTTGCACCAGTTATAGCATCTGCCTGGTTCCCTCTTTAATGAGGAAAGTAAAATCTTTTAATACATGCTCATCTTTATACCTATATGAGAGTCATGATTTTACCTTATTTGAATATTGTCTTTTAAGGGTATAACTGAACGACATTCCCTTTTTCTCCCTGGAACTCAGAAAAGTGAGAAGTGGGTGGTAAAGTATGGCCTGACAAGAGTGGTTTTCCGGTTTTCATACCTCTGAAGGATTTAAATAACTCAGAAGTCAGACTTCCTAGTGCAAAATGAAGTTCTCCAAGAGAGATACAGGAAACAGACTTTTTGAGAGCAAAGTTATTTCCGTAGCTGGAACTACAACAAGCACAGAAGTCTCAGAATAAATTGCTGGAAGCTTCGAAGATTTAGAAATGGAAACTGCACAGGCAATGAAGGCAACATTCAAAGATGATAGGGGCTGTGGCTAGTGGCAGGCACAGTGCCCTTCCTTCACTGGGTAAACAGTGCTGGAACTTGGTGCAACTGGTTTTCAATCTCACAGCCGTGAAAGTAGGGCCCTGCTTCTCCATCAATGATTCTGTGAATGTCAGCAACTCCAAATATTTATTTTTCGGCAATCATGCGCATTTTCCTTAGGGTATGCGGCCTATCCAGCATTCAACAGAACGCTAGGCATGATCAGCGCATGCTGGCCAGAAGGCAGCTTACCTTTGGCCTTTAGTCCTGCTGTTCTGAGGCCTGGATAATATTTCCCCATTTACCCGCAGGCCTCACTTCTGAGCACCTTATTTTAAGTGGGCCTTGAAAACAACAGGTGGCCTTTTCCATCAGCAAGTAAACCTTAATTGCAGTACGCAGAGCTAGCAAGGCTTGGGAGGGCCTATGCTGGGAGCCACAGGTTGTGGCTTTGAACTGGGAGGTCTTCCTTGGCAACACGCACCGGCTTCCAGGACCCAGCACCTCCTCGCTTAACAGCCATCCTAAGGTAACACTGCCAAATGTGTATAAAGATTTTGATGTGAATATGATAATTTTCCTCATAGTTTTATATCAGCAAAAACTACACAAGCAACATGACCACCTGTAGGAAAAGAGTTACAAAGAGTACTTAATGTCATGGGGGAAAGATTCGAGACATACTGTTCCACGGAAAAAAGCGAATACAAATTTGTACACGGTATGATTTCAACTGTTTTTAAAAGGTAGGCTAAGCAAAGCAGGAAAACATTCCCAAGTGGGTCAGCGGGGTTGCTCTTCTGCAAGGACAATGTGCTGCTTTGGTAAAAGTCAGGTCTCCAAAATGCACTCGGATGGGCTCACTACCCGGGCGCACGGCAAAGGCTCCTGGCCCCGTAATGGCGCGACAGCTAGAGCTGAGCGCGCCGGGAAGCGCACGTACCTGGTCCGGCCGCCTGGACACCGCTTCCACCCGAGAGGCGGCCGGCGGCCCGGGAGACAGTCGGGGGCGGGCCGAGGGGAGGCACCGTCTGGACGGAAGTGGACGCGGTGACGGAGCGCGGCGGGACCCCGGCGGCCAGTGGCAGTGCCCGGCGTGCCCGGCTCCCTGGAAGGCTGGAGAGGAGGGAGTGGGGGAAAGGAGGAGGAGGAGGGGAGGGAGGAGGCCGAGGAAAAGAGGGGATCTGGGGGGGTAGAAAGGGAGCAGGGGGCCTGCAGGAGGGGAGGCGGGGAAGGGGAGATGGGGGCCAGAAGGGAGCGGGAGGGAGGCTGGGAAGAGGAAGACGCCAGCCAGTCAAATTTACATTTGTGCTTGGCTCCCTAGACCTGTAAGTGACTTCCTTGCTGTCAATCATAATTAGGCTATTTTTAAATCTAAGTCATTGCAGTTTCATACTTGCCCCCCCTTTGCCCTGCTCCCACCCCATCTTTGGTCTGATCATTCCACTAAGGTTGTGATAACCACTTCAGCTGGCTACAGAAAGAAAGCAGGAATAAAGGTGAATCGGGAAAATAAGAGACAGTAAAGAAACGACCAGCAGCTTCCTGACGCCACACGAACTGAACGAAAACACTCATGACCGCAGAGATGGAACCTTATTACTTTAGATGCTTCTAATTGGAAAACTATGCTGTGAATGTGAATTCAGATCGCGGAGGACCTTTTCCTTAGCCATCTTTACTTCAGAGATGGCAAATCAGTAAGATAAAAAGAGGAGAGAGACTTATTCCAGTTGTTAAAGGGTAATTTTCAGACAAAGCTAAAGTCAAGATGCTCACACTTATTTAAAAATGACATGTGTTACACCTAATGTTGGGGGATGGGGCACGGGGAAGGCAGTATAGCACAGAGAAGACAAGTAGTGACTTTAAAGCATATTACTACACTGATGGACAGTGACTGTAATGGGGTATGTGGTGGGGAATTGATAATGGGGGGAATCTAGTAACCACAATGTTGCTCATGTAATTGTAGATTAATGATACGAAAATAAATAAATAAATAAATAGATAGCTAGATAACTAACTAAATAAATATGACATGTGTTAAAGATTTTATGCTACTCACTAATTAATGAGGAAACCAGGCGGATGTTAAACCCGGTTTGAAAGAAAAGTCAAAGCATGCATTTACATGGAGGAAGGGGTGTTGAAGGATTTCCTCAAGTATAAAATTTCCTTAACTGTAAAACTATAACTACAATTTCCTGAACTATAAAATGAGGGATTTGAATGGATTTGGTTCTCAAGCAGATGGAAGCAAACTGGCTTTTTTTCCACAGAATTGGGAAGGTCAATCAAACCTCAGGATAGAATTCACGCATCTACATTTACCTACAACTTAGAGAAGTGTAAAATAGCTCCAAGTCAAGAATCAGATCGGCTGGAGGGTGTCCTCTAGACAAGCATGGTTTTCCGTTGAAACACAAAATTATTTCTATAAGACGTTTTAAGCATCTTCCAGCATCTTGAAATACCATTTACATGAAATGACTGGATACCACTAATAACATATCATTTTTCTCTATTTGCTAAGTTTAGCTCCCCAAGCATCTATACTACCCTTTTATATAATAACACTTTTATTAATATGAGGAATGTCATATTCTCCAAGACTCTGGGCCTTGCTGCAATTTCCTAGCTCAGTGTTAAATTTATGCATGTACTTAAAAGTGATAATAATAAAAAAAAATTTGTGTCCTGATCAGTCTCAATTGGCAAAGTGTGCTATGGACTCAGTTTATGAGACAGCCATATACAACTTGGTAATAGCATTCAAATACAGTTTATTCCTACCGTGTCCCCACCTATTTCCTAAATCTAACTGCTCCCTTCTACAGTCTACTCATTCTCTTAATGTGCACCTTCCACTTGAGCCAGGCTGGAATCTTCCTGGCCGTGCCCCTTCCTTCCTGTGATTTTTCCACTTTGGAGAGATGGCCACCCTCTCTCTTTCCATTTATGCAAATCCTGTCCAGCTTTTAGAATTCTTATCCACAAAGCTTGCTGGAGTGCTACTACTCTTTTGATAGCACCTTATCTGTATTCCTAAAAAATCATTCCCCTGGCATTTTGTACTATAAACAGGGTCACTGGATCATATCGTTCTGGTTAATAAAAACCTTGTTTTCACAAATGCAGTAACTTGAGGTTTCTTGAGACAGAAGCTGTGGGTATTCTCCCCTTTAAACACCAGAGCTTGATGAGTGGATGCCAACCATTCCCATCAGTTTTTGTTAACCCAAAGACATGTCCCTTCTATATGAATTCAATTTCCTTAAGTATAAAATGAGGGATTTGACTAGATTTGGTTCTCAAACTTTAGCATGCATCAGAATCCCGTGAGAGCTTGTCAAACCACAGAGTGCCGGCCTCCCACCACAGAGCCTCTGAGTTAGGAGGTTCAGGGTGGATGCTAGGAATTTGCATGTCCCACAAAATTTCATGTAATGATGCCGATGCTCCTCTGGTCCAAGGACCACACTCGTAAAGCCTCTAGATCAGAATCACAGTGACAAGCAAACCCACTTGACTGCATCAAAACCACTGAGGAACTTGTAAAATTCAGATGTCCTGGGCTCAGACCTACTGAACCAGAATCACTGGGAACTCATATTTGATAAAGATCCCCAGATGGATCTTCTAATGTTGAAGACCCAGTTGAACTAGATAATCTGTACAGACCAAGTCTGTGTCAACCTTCCATGATTTTACATTACAGATAGATTCAGCAAGAAAAGTCCCGCTGGAGGAAGGCAGGTGTGACTCTCAAGATAGAATACCTCCTGTAGCTTGTTCAAACTGGAAACATACAAGAAAAGGGAATTCTGGGAAAATAGCTGGGCCTATCCAAGTGGGCACATTACCAAACCATCGTTCCATGGCAGGCACTCTTCAGTCCTCCCAGAGGCAAAGGTGTTACCCTACTAGAGTAACTGATTCACCATCAAACAGATCCCTTCATGTCCCCCTCTGAAACAGCTGCAGTCAAATAATTTTATGGCCTTAGGATTTCTCCAAAGTAATGGGAAGGTGTTTCTTTTTAACATCTGAATAATTAAAAGATGCCCCCAAAGTGTTATTAGCCAGAACAAATTGATGAGCAGCCTAAACATAAATTCTTATTTCTATGCTAACATGTACAAACTGCTTGCAACACCTAGAATGGCAGTTCTCAGCTTCACCAAGTTTAGTTCCAAAGTCCTCTAGAAGATTCATCACACAAGTTAATATTTAACCCAGGTTCTAACGAAAACAATTAAAAGTTACATTCTTCTAGAAACCCTTAGGGTATGTGAGCACTTGGATTTCAAGGAGTTCTTTAATAAATTGAAGCTGATAACTCAGCAGTCACAGCTGGTTATCCCTCCAAAGTTGTTTTATTTTTCTTCATGAAAGAAGGAACTCAGTTCCAGGGACTGAATGAGCCCAAGCTGAATTAACAAACGGGGCAAAGGCAAAGTTAAAGGAGACTGCTGACTTTGCTAAAACCCCTTGCTTAACACTGACTTTGAAAGCAAGGTCAAGAAAAGTATTCCGTGGAACTGCTTCGATACAGAAACGTTGGAACAAAATCAGAAAAAGTGCTGGTGTGTTTCAGAACATCTCAAAACAATACCTGAGGGAGAACATATTTTAGCTCATCTGTTACTGCTTATGCGGCAGTGTTGCTGACTCAGCCCCCCACCCTCCCAAGTGCAGCTGTAGGTAGCCAGCTGGGAAAGCACTGAGTCTTTCTAATCAAGGTACGTGCTGCTGGTGAAGACAGGTCAGAGGGTCTGATAGAAAAGAAAGTCACTGGTTTCTAGAAGATTCTTCAGCCAATAAGCCATCCAGTCAGAAGTCTAAGTCTAAGTCACCCCCAGACAGAAAGCCTAAATTTTGCTAAATCTGCTTCATTAATTAATTTTTTTTGCTAAAGTATGTAAATTGCAGACAACATGACGTTTTGCCCTTAAAGAAATGTGTAGTAGTCAGCCTCCAAGATGACGTATAATGCTCCTTGTCTCTATGAATTCACACCTTTGGTTAGTGTCCTCCCACATTATATATACCAGGGTGGGTCTGTGTGAACAACAGAATACAGAAATAGTGATGGCATGGCTCTTCTGCTATTTGATTACAAAAGACACCACGGCTTCCATCTCATGTTTCTCTCTCTCTCTCATCACCTTCTCCAGGGCAAGTCAGTTGCCATGTCATGTGTGATACCATGAAGAGGCCCGTGTGGCAAAGAAAGTCCCTAATCTGCAGCCATGTGTCTGGGCCACTGGGGATAGGGATCCACCGGGTCCAGGCAAATTTCAGATGACTGCAACCCCAGGCAACATCTTGATCAGAACCTCTTGGGGGACCATGTGCCAGACCATCTGGCTGACCGCTCCCAAATCCCTGATCCCTGATCCCTGATCCTCAGAAACTGCAAGGTAATAATTCCTACTGTTTTAAGCTGCTCTGTTTGGGGCTACATTGTTACACAGCAATAGATAATACACATTTGATACTTGCAAGTGGGTTGCTGTTGTGACAAAACCCAATAGTGTGGGGGTGGCTTTGGAACTGGGCAGTGGGCTTTGTTGTGTTAGGAAACACCTGAAGCGCCCAGAAGAAGCTCTTAATATAAAACTCAAGGTCTTTAAAAGTTCAAGGAAGAGTTTGCAGGTCAGTGAGGTCAATGTGCTTAGAAATGCTCTTGCCTACAGTTATGTGGACAGAAGCAAATGCACGTAATGAACTCCTGATCTGATCTAGTTTAAGGAGATTTTTTGAGCCTGAGTGTTGAAAGTGCCGCTGGTTTCTTCTCGAAGTTGCTTATAGTATCAGAGAGAGAACCAAAAGTGGGAAGACATTACATCTGGATGGTTTTGAAATTCTCAGCTTTTCCAGATAGCAAATTATGCTAGAATTAAGTAATGGCTTCCAAGCAAAGATGAAATGCACAGCCCTGCCAGAAAAACTGTGGTCCACAGACAAATCCTTGAGTGTGCCTGTAATATCATTTTTTTAGGATTTCAGAAAGAGATAAGGTGGTACCGCAGAGTACTATTCGGTTAGATGAGAGGGACTTAATGTCAAAAGAGTAAATATGTGCTTACTGCCATGGTCTGAATTAGGTGTGTCCCCCAAATTCATATGTGGACATCTGGCCCCACAGTGTGGTGGTGTGAGGAGGTGGGGCTTTGGGAGGTGCTTGGGTCATGAGGGTGGAGCCCTTGTGTTGGGATTAGGGTTCTTACAAATGATACTATGCAGGGTTCCCTGCCCCTTCCAACACCTGAGGACACAGAGAGAAGTTTGCAGCCTGGAAGAGGGCCCACACGCGGCTGGCCATCCATGCTGGCACCCTGATCTCAGACTTTCAGCCTCCAGAACAGTGAGAAATAAATGTCCGTTGTTTATAAACCACACAGCTTGTTGTATTTTGTTATAACAGCTGGAATGGACTAAGACACTGAGACCCTCTCAACCAAAGGATAGTGTTTCTAGAAAGCTTCACTATGTCCCTCAGCTGTCTGCAGAAGCCCAAGGAGGAGATTCATGAGTGCTGCCTCAGCCTAACGGAGGGCATCCCAAAGATAGTCACAGAAAATTCAGAAAGTTTTAAAGAGAACTATATGTACAGAAACATCACCAGTTCAGACTGAAAGGGACAGAGACAGTACAAAATAAAAAGAGGCTTCTGGACCCTCAAAATTCTACTGGCATGAAGAAAACATTACTCAGCTGCAAAGACATGACACCTTTCACAAAAAGGGAAGAACCAAGGGTTCAGAAGGCAGAGTCCAGAGCCTTGGAGTATAATTCCCAAACCTTGAGACATAATCCAGGAATTTACAACATTTGCCTGGCTGGAGTCTCGAATCTGTGTGGATCAGCTGCTTCTTCATGCCTCTTATTTTCTCCCGTTTTGAACAGGAGTGTCTAGAATGGTTACTCTATGTCTGTTGCATTACATGTTTAGTGGGGAAAGATGTTTTGGACTGAATGTTTGTGTCTATTCAAAATCCATACGTTGAAGCCCTTCCCACCAAGGGGATGGTATTTGGAGATGGGGTCTTCAGAGATAACTGGGTTTAGATGAGGCCCTGAGGCTGGGGTCCTCGTGATGGGATTAGTGCCATTATGAGGAGAGACCAGAGAGCAGCTCACTCTGCCTGCCATGTGAGGACACAGCAAGAAGGCAGCCCCCAGCCAGGCGGAGTAGAGTCACCACCAGAACTTGACCATTCTGGCACCCTAATCTTGGACTTCCCAGTCTCTGGAACTGTGAGCAATAAGTGTCTGTTGTTTAGAAGCCCCCGAGTCTGTGGCACAGAATGAGTGGTGGTAAGGAGTGGGGGGATAGGCAAGTTGCCAAGGAGAACCATACTGGAGGAAACTGTATTTAAGGAAACACAGTCACACCTGGACCTGACTTAGATGCTAAGATTCTGCACTCTGAGCAGATGCTGTAATAGGATGAAACTTCTGGGAACTCAGGAAAGAGTTGACTCTGTTTTGCATCTGGAGAGGAGGATTTGAACCTTCAGTGGACTGAGGCAGCCTGCAGGTTGGCACACACTGATCCCCACCTCCTAGTGTTCATGCTCTGTGTATGTGTGTCCCCCACAACTGTACCACAGTTACTCTGCGGCCAATAGTGCACAGAAGCAATAATGGCATGTCACTTCTCATATTAACTTATTTGTATAAGTGTGACTCTCTGTTCTTTCTCTGTCACTCTCTGTCAGATCTGTAAAGATGCCCACATGGTGAAGAACTGAGGCTGCTGGCCAAAGTCAGCAATGAACCAAAGCTACTTTCCAACAGCCGTGTGCCAGGCCCATCTTAGACACAGGCCCTTCAGCCCCAGTAAAGTTTCAGATGACCGTTGCTCTAGCCAGCATCCTGAGTGGAACTCCTGAGAGACCCTGAGCCAGAACCCCCTGGCTAAGCCACTCCCAGATTCCTGACCCTCAGAAACTTTATGAAATACTGTTTTTAAAAAGTGTTTAAGTCACTATGTGCATTAATCATGTGTTTCTGTTGTTATGCTGTCTGGGACCTTGCTGACCATGAAGAGACCATCCCTTCTAGACATCGCTGATTCCCAGAGATAGGGCAAGCCTTTCCCATGCAAACCAACCAATACAGAATTTAAACCGTAACAACCTCCTTCATTGGTCTTTAACCCAGGGCCCTCACACTCTGGGACCTTATCTACCTGCACTATTTGCCCCAGGCAACTAAATTCAACCCCCATGCCCCAAAGTCCACTGAAGTCATTCAGATTATCCTATCCTCAACCTGCTTTCCCTGCCTTGCCCGTTGCTTCCCATGGAAGCCATGAGAACGTCTCTTTCCCATTCGTTCCCCTTACTCCACCTCAAAGCCATCCCTGGTGCTCCTCCAGGTGGCCCGTCAGAGGCAAGGTACGCTCGTCCCTCTTGGAATGTTCAACAAACTATCTTTTCGATGGTAGTCACCTCCTGATCTTTGGACCTTACCATAATTAAATAATAATGAAACCTACATTTGAAATACTATGGTTTGGGCAACCTGTTGAACAGCACTAGATAACAAGTACACTTAAATATACCTGTGTGTTTCCTTCATACCACAGTGTCATTTTCATACCTAGTGACATTTAAATTACCTTTAATATCATATAATACTAGATCATCTGATAAATGTCCTCCTTTTCCCTAGCAACACCTTTATAGCTGGTTTGTTGGAGAACAGGCTCCAAATAAGGCCACATATTGCTTTTGATGCTGTTTTTCAAATCTCTTTTCAAGGTAGAATTTTCAAAAAGGCAAAACCATGCATTCCCTATGAACATAAATTAACTAAGTATCAAATAGTTAATCAACTCATGAATGAGGGAAGCAGCAGTATGGTTAAACTGGTTAAAAGACACTTTGAGAGACTGAAGCATTGGAAAATGACTGCTAAGTTATATTTTTAAAACACTGGTTAACAACCTCCAAGGAAATAAAACTCATAATTAAAACATTTTTGATTATCTTTGCAGCCAGACAAATCATTTGCATCTCTACGAGACATACTTAATCTCAACTGCTATCAGATAAGAATCATTTGCATCATAACAATTTTGTACATGTTATCCACTTCCCTTGCAGAATTGTAAACTATCTTAATTAATCTTAAATGGTCTGGAATGAAGGTGCACCCCCTAGAATGTTAGACTGTGCCCCTGCATGATATTGAAAGGACAGAACGCTGAATTATCCATTTTCTATTTCCAAGTTTTGAGATTTTCTTTTTCCTTTATACTCATTTAATCTAGAATAGATTATAGTAAACTTATTATAGGATGTTGAAATAATGCTTTATTTATTTATTCATTTTAGTATTGACTTCACATTTAATACATAGGATTCCTTTTGAGTAGTCTAAACTAGGGCATGTGGGCTTGTTTTGAAGGAACAGTCCTGAGGTCTTCACCTGATTTGACCTCAAACACAATTCTCCCTCCTTTTCTTCCAAGAGTCATTTGGTGCCTAACAGAGGTTTCCTGGTGGTTTTCTTTGAAACACTGGGCTGGAAGTTTGAGGGGAGTATCCTTCCCCACCCCTATACCTCCCCACCTTCCTTCTCAGACTTTCACTAAAAGTCCTGGAACTTCTGCTTTTTGCAAAGCACATTGGCTTTCCTCCTTGACATCAGTTTCTGATTTGTTCTGCTCCTCCTGTGTGTCTAGAATGTCTTCAATGTGGCTTTGTTGCCTGGCTTAGCAGAGGGAGCTCACAAATAGACCAGGTATTCCTTTCTGTGTCTCCTTCAGGCAGAGAGTTCCTTGAAGCTAATGTGGCACCCACTTGCCAGGAATATTACATGAAGGAAGAGCACTTGCTTAAAAGTAGTTTTCCTTTTCCTTCGAGGCAAACCAAGAATGACAACCTAATTCCTCAGCCTTGAATTTGAGCCCAAACTTGATCACTGGGTTCCTTTACTAAAAGTCTTGTGTTATATGGTGGGTCAGCTATTAGTTCAAAAGTCCTCCCCACGCAGCCTACCTGCAGTAAGAGGAGTGTCCTCCCCGCCTCCACCAAGGCTGGGCTTTAGCCAGCAGGATGTTAGGTCACATGAGTCAAGCAGAGGTTTGAAGCTCCCTGGTTGCTGTGCCTGCCCTCCTGTGCTTCTGCCATCACCACGAGAAGAGCTTCTCCCAGGTACCTGCCCACCCCTGAACCTGAGCCCCAGACAAATTCAACCCTTGAAGCAGGGGATGAACCCAGCCAAGTCCAGCCTAGATCAGCTGGCCTGTAGATTGGTGAAAATTAAGAATTGTAGTTTTTAGTACTTTGTTTTTTGTTTTTTTTTTTAGGATTGGGGAAGCACTAGCTACAAGTAGACATTGGTTACCCCTGCTTTGCTCAGAGAATCCCTCTGCTGATCCACAGACATGAACATCAGCAGCCATGTTTAGATCCTGCCCCCCGGGGCCATGATGGACCAAACCAGGGTGGGCACCTGACCATTCAAGCTTTGATTTTGAGGTACACAAAAACTTGCTGGTTTCTGCATGTGTCTAGGATAGTAACATATAATGCAGGAGCTCTGGGGTGGCCATACTTCACAGGGAAGCACGTCTAAAGTGAGGAAAAACAATGAAGTAGACACAGAGATAAATAGAGAGGATCCCACATTCCAGGTCCTGATTCCCATCCCTTCCTGGGGCCCAGATCTTTTCCTGACCCAAGTGCACCTCTTATGCATAAAAAAGTAAATCCTTAACATTCTCATCCTGAGATATTTTTTATTTTCTTTTTATTGTGTCTATATGAAATGATGGAGTTAATAAACCTATTGTGGTAATCATTTTACAGTATACCTACATCAAACAATCAAGCTGTACACCTGAAACTTAAAAAAGAAAAGGAATAAGGCAGCCAAAGAGATGAAAATCTGAGCTTGTGGCAATAAGAAAGCCATTCATGAAAGGCCCAGTGGAATAAGGAATATAGCATATTTCATTAATAAGGTGGAAAATTATGTAATCTCAACTGGAGGGGCCCACAGGGGATGACAAAGAAGTTATATGTCATTCTGTGCATTCATCACAAGAGGAGTATGAATCCCTTGAACTGACATCTTTGGAGTAGCAGTATTTTAGCTATTACAGAGTTCTCTTAAGGATGAAATAAGATGCATATGTAAAAACATTTTTAAGTGTATTATTGTAAAAGTGTGAGTCATGGCTATTGCTTTAGCTTTGAATTCAGAAATACATTGTAGTGTTTTTCTTTTTGTGAGGTTTATCTTTTTCCCACCATTTGTGGGTTTTAGATTTGTTATAGGATAATTCTGATTTCAATTGTGTTCCAATTATAAAACCTTTATACTTGTTTGGACTAAAAACAAAACAGAACAAAATGAAGATGGCTAATTAACTAGGTTAGCAAATGGGACCAAGTATTTTCCAAAGATTTCTTAGAACTGATGCCTCAGATTTGCTACATATATGTAAAGCAAAATGAGATCTATTTAAGTTTACTAACTGAAAGAATAAGGATTTAGGGTTTGTAATGTTCACATACTGAAAAATAAAATATAAAGCCAAAATAAACATCAGCATAGTTCTTTCTGTACCCCAAAACTACCCTCAAGGATGCCAAAATCCTCATGTCAACAAATCCATGCCATCCTAGTCCACTTCTGACTGGCAATACATTGAAGACTATCTAAGGTCCAACCCAAGTGCCTTAAATTTTTAAAAAATGTATTTATAGCTCTCCATCTTAGATCATGTATAAAATTGCCCTGCTCTAAACCACCATTTTACTGCCTTTATATCCACTACATAGACTTGATTTTGCTTTGCCTTGATTTGTCATAATTTGTGGGGATGTATTAAGTCATGGTATGTATTTAATTAAAAGATATTTATTTAATAAAAGTGGTATGCAATGGAAATCCTCATTTAATCCCCCAAAAATTACTAGAAAAAACATTTTAAATAAAAATCAAAGCATCATAAACTGTGGTTTAATAAATGTGCTGATAAAGTAGTTTTGAAATAAACATTAAAGTTTTATGAATTAAAATGAAGAGACATTTACAGCAGCTCTATTCATAACAGAGGCACATCTACAACAACCCAAATATCTTGCAGTGAGTAAATGAATAAACAAACCTTAATGGATACTGCTCAGACACAGAATAGAATAAATCATTCATATGCCCAAAAGCATGGAGGGGTGAGAGAAAGAACTGGGTCTCAAGATCTTCCATGCCACTCTAGTAAAGGAGAACAAGCCAGTGGTTGCCAGGGGTTGAGGGTGAGAAGAGGGTTTGGCCAGCTAAAGGGCACAGGAGGGAGTTTTCTGGAAATGTTCTTGATCCTGATTTTGGTAATGGATTTGCATATCCACATATATGTTAAAATCCACAGAACTGTGCACTAAAATCACACGTCTATTTTAGAGCATGTCGATTTTAAATAATTTAAAATATACAGGCAAATATCAAGAAGTCTAAACAGCAATTCCTTAGCTCATTTTTTCTCTACGTATTTGTTGCTCGGTATTGTGCTGAAGAGAGGAATAATTCTGATATCAAATTCTTTGATTTCAAGAGAATCCCATGAAAAGAGTATTGCCATAATGTGTTTCTTTTTCAATAACACAGCAGAGTTCCTTCCTGAAATCCTGATAATGGGATATAAATTTTAATTTAAATTCCTGCAAAAGAGAAAGGTCGTGATGTCAGTGTGGGAACACAATGTCTGCTAGTGTGGCGGGAGCTGCTGTGAAGGAAATATCAGCAAGGGAAGGGCAGAGGGGAGAGCACAATTTTGTTAATTCAAAGCCAAGTGCAAAGAAGGGCAGGTTCCAACTCCTTCGAGTTGAAAGTGAGCAAAACACCAGTAAGGACAAAATGAGAGGCAATCTCTGAACCCACTTATCAACTCCTTTCTCCCCAACTAGCTTTTGGTCTGAATAATAAGACTCATGATTATAAACATTATTATGTTTGGACATTCAAATCTAAATGTATGGACTTTCTTGAACAACTCTGCTTTCTTTATTTCAAAGGTGGAGAACCTACCTTACTGTTCGAGGAAGTGGGAACAACTCTCATTTGTTTTTAAGAGATGAAGTCTATTTGTATAGAAAAACAACTCCATTCTGTCCCCATTTAAGGTACATTTGTATTAGTTACCTCTTGCTGCATAACACATGTACTTAAAATCTTTAAGCAACAATGTACTGCTTCTCAAGCTTCTGCTGGTCTCCACTGGGTTCAGACAGCTGGTGGAATTCCTAGGGCTGGAGTCTAAGCAGGCCTCACTCACATGTCTGGGGCCCTGCTATGACTGTTGGCTGGGCTTCTCTCTCCATGTGGTCCCTGGGTGCTCCAAGAGACAGAAAATGGAATTTACAATACCCCTTAAGGCTGAGTCTCACAGACTGCACACTGTCATTTCTTCTGCATTTTCTTGGTCAAAGCAAATCGTGAGGCTAGGCCAGAATCAAGAGTTGGAGAAATAGGTCCCACCTCTTGATTTAGAAAGGAACAGCAAAGTCACATTGCAAAGGAGTAAAGGACACAAGGGTACTCTTTGTTGGGGAGCCATGGCTGTCACGATATACCACTCTATTGTCAATAATGTTTAAAGCCTGTGTAAACATTAATTAAATTTACTCTTGACTTTGAAACTGGGTGAAATCAGGCTAAAGATACACTGAGGGTCAGCAGCTCTAATTCATTCCCACTTTGATATAGTTAATCTTTATTTTAAAACATCAGAAACCACTTATAGATGAGTCAGAGTAATCTGACCCTGTGGTTTTTAAGATTTTAACCATTAACTAAGAGAAAAGTAATGTGGAATCCATTAGCTGTTTTTAAATGCACTGTTATTACTTAATCATATGTCAACTCCCTTAGGTTTCCTAATGTCTAAACATTTCACAATGTTGTGTAGAATTATGAAAGGATCCAGTTCCCAAGAGGATGTGGAAAACCTGAACATAGCTGTGAACTAGAGCTGGATTGCTGGTAGGTCCCTGGAGCTAAAGGCACAGAGAAAAACAGGATAATCCTTGCACATGCAGCTTAGGCTTGGTCCTCTGTCACCATAGGCTGCCAAACCTGTCACACTCTGACAATAAGGAGCAATGCTAGTATGGGGGCCAGGGCCATACCAACGTCTGACCACCTCTGCTGTCTGGACTAATTCCAAGAATTCCCTGAGAAGAAAGTGCATGTACAAATATCAAGGTGGGGGCAACTGTCCACATACTGTCCCAATTATCCACTTTCATCAAATGCATTATGCTCTTTCCCACTTCAAAGCCTTTGCACTACCAGTCCTCTCTGACCTTGAACTTGACTCCCAGGGGTTAAGTAATATAAATCAAAGCAAGGGGGTTGGCATCTGGGAAATGCTCTGGCTTGGCCCACTCGTGCTCCCAGCCCAGGTTTTCTGCCTCTGTTCATCCTAGGGAATGCTTTTTCTCTGACCCCTTGAGTCAGGGGCCCTTTCTGCATGCCCCCAGCCTGTACTGAGCTCAGGGCCTTAATGCTGCAGGAGAAATAATACCACTATGGGAACAAATCCTGCAGAGACCCTGGGCAGCCAGAGAGTTCCAGGCTCTCCAGGAGAACAGAAGAGTAGGGAGAAAAAACAGAAACAGAAACGAGGAAAGGAGGGAGAAAAAAGGATGGTTTTTGGAGACAAGGCTTTCCTTTCTGACCCTAGGGTGAGGCCTTAAATTGGCAGCAAGAAGGAGCCTGGAGCGGGTTGCAGATGTGCGGCAGGAGTGGTGTGTGCCCCAGAAGGGGGTCTCTGTACGGTGGGCAGTTGCTACAGGACACCTCCCACACCACACCCACATCCACCCTTGGTGCAGCCGCAGACCCAAAGACTCTGCAAGCCACTCTAAAATTCTTTTTCATCTGAAGCCATCTTCTCATGGGAACTCAACTAGGGGAAACACACAGTTAAAGCTTTTGGCAGCCATACCTGCCCTGCATGTTGTAAATGTCATAGCCATTCTTTCTCTCAAGAAAATTACTAACGCACTGAAGCAAGGTGCCCCTCCCTTTCCCTCTCCCCCTCCCATCCTCCCCTCCCTCTTCCTCACTACCGCACGCCTCCCAGGCAGTCTCCGGCTCTCTTTCCCCATCCTCACTCCCAGGCCTTCACTCCAGGCCCTCCTGGTCTCTCTCCTGATAGCAGCCTCCACACAGATCCCCATCTTCAGGCCTCCCTCCCTCCTGCCCCTCCAGGGGCATGGCTCCAGGACCCTGCTAACCCCCTGGCCCAGGATGGTTCCGAGCCTAAAGGTTCAAGTCCAAATCCCCTGTGGTGTCACTGAAGTGGGGCCTCTGGTTACTCTCCTGGCCCAGTCTCCTCTGCTCCCATCTGTCTCTTTCCTTCACTGCTGCCAAACACAGCAAGCGCTTTCGCCCAGCTGGGCTTTAACCCATGCTGTGCCCTCCTCCCTGCTGAAAAGTCTCTTGGAGGTGGAGATAAATATTATTTCAGCTGTAAGGCTGCGCTCTGCCCAGGTCTTCACCAGAACCCCCAGCCCAACGAGGATGCTGCGTGTCCCTGCGGATTTCTGCTCTCTGTATTAAAGCCTCTGTGACCCTTATAGCTGGGAGCTGGGATGCCCATCTCACCTCTCCCCTGGACAATGTCCTTGACGGCTGTAGCCCTCCCTGAGCTCCATCTTATTCCACCCAGTACAATGCACCGTTCCTCCAGTAGTCTCCGTAAAGCGCATTTTCTGTATAGAAAGTTCTCTGTCATCACGTGGCAAGTCAAGTATCTGGTGATGTTGAAGACCTTTTCAATTGATTTTTGAACTGGCCCCACCTCTCTCTTCCCAAAAAAGCTAAAATTAAGTCTCTGATGGTTTTTTGAAATGTTAGTTACCATAAAACCCAGCACTTCCACTCCCACTTATATAGCCAAGAAAGTCGAAAGCAAATGTCTACACAAAAATGTACTACTGTTCATAGCAGCATCATTCACAAGAGTTAAAAAGGGGAACAACCCAAATGTTGTTCAGCTAAAGAAGGGAGTAGTAAAATGTGCTATATCCACTCCGTGGGATATTATTCGACTAAAAAAAAAAGGAATGAAATATTGACACATGGTATAGCATGGAAAAACCTTGAAAACATGCGAAGAGAAAGAAGCCAGACACAAAAGATCACATATTGCATGATTTCATTTATGTTAAATGTCTAGAGGAGTCAAATCTACAGAGGCAGAAAGATTAGAGATTGCAAGGGGCTGAGGGTAGAGGAGGCATGGGGAGTGAATGCTTATGGGCACAGGTTTCTTTTTACCGATGGGAAAATGTGCTAAAATTGTTCATGGTGACAATTGCACAACTCTGCAAATACACTAAGCCACTGACTCGTACACTTCCACCGGATGAGTGGTACCCGTGAGTTTTTAACTCAGTAAAGAGGCTAAAAAGAATGCCCTTTGAGCTCTGTCAAGGAATATTCTAGTTCTCAGAGGGCTGTGTGTTGCATAGCGCTCGTGTTCCAAGAGCAGGAAGATCGCCTTGGAAACAGCCTCTGCCTCTTGGCCCCTGTCACCTTTTCTTTAAACCCCCATCTCCCCTTCCCCTCCACCCGCTCTGGGATGGGGTGCGTGGGGTCGGGAGAGGCAGCAGAGGGTGGCTGAGGAGCTCGAGCGGCTGGTGCAGGAGGAAGGCGGCCCGCGAAGCCAGCCTGCAGTCGCGCAGGCCTGTCCCGGAGCCACCTGCCCAACCCCGCAAGGGCTTGTCTGGGAAAAGGCGACACCCGACACCAACCGAGCTGTTTGACGCCAGACGCACCCAGCCGACCCGGGAGACTCCGGACCCCGAGCGGGGTGAGGGCGTTTCCGAGCGCACCTGGGTGGCACCTGGCGCCTGGATCGCGTCCCTCAGGGTGGCTGCCCACCTCTGGCTGAGAGGGGAGAACGGAGCACCGCAAGGGGCCGAGAGGGGCGGTGTCCTTGGGTGGGCGGGCGCCCTGTGCCCAAGGGCCCCCGAGATTGGCGGTGCGGAAGGGAGCGGGGCCACTGGGTGCCGAGGGAGAGGCATCCGTTCTGACTCTTGCAGCGAGTCCTAGCTCGGAATCACAGGGCCGGCAGGGGGCGGGAGATTTGAAAAGCCGCAATACTGGTATTAGAGAGAAAAACACATAGGAGTATCCAGGATTCGGGGGGTCGCGGGAGAAAACAGAAACAAGCCTGCCCAGAGCCAGTGTGGGAGACGGGGCGCGCCAGGGCCCCGCAGAACCCCTGCATTGCTGGCGGCCACCCGGCACCGGGATGGCTGAGAGCCCGCGAGCTGCGGGGATTCTAAAGGGGGCGGAGGTGTAGGTGCCGTGTGCCTAGGGCTCACGGAACGTGTCAAACAGCACCGTGTACTTGCAATCCATGTGCCTGAATGGAAACCGGGTCCGAGGCGTCCCGCGGTATCCTGGTTTTTGCCTCTAAAACGTGCCAGCTGGAGGAATTGCCAGACAGAAAATGGGGGTGAGGGAGTCTTGCCTTGGGAGCTGGAGGTTCAAAGGAGAGCCCCTGCCCAGCCTGCAGCCATTCACTTAGGAGGTGACCCTAGAGCCTTGACTTTAGGGCTAGCCTGAGCCACCTTGTCACAGGTTACTTCCTCGGCTGCCCTCTGGCCAAATGGCAGGAATGCTTCCGGAGCTGGTGGCAGATGCCAATGAGATTTATAGGGGTGATCAAGAGGATGGATGTCCATCTGGGCTTTCTTTCTTATAACTGTTTTTTATAATTACCAAAATAATATATGTTCATTATTTAACAACATATAAATTACATTGTGCAGAACGGTGGCCTTCCAAAGATGTTCACCTCCTAATCCCCAAACCCGTACATATGCTCTATGATACTAGAAAAAAAAAAGTGGGAGACATTGCAGAGATGATTAAATTAAGGATCTTGAGATAGGAGGTTATCCTGGATGATCCAGGCACAGTGTAATAACAGGGGCCCTTGGAAGAGGAGACAGAGGGTCAGATGTAGGGAAGGAGATGTGAGGAAAGAAGCAGAGGTCAGAGGAATGCGATGCTGGCTTTGAAGATGGAGGAAGGGACAGGAGTTACAGTAATGCAGGCAGCTTGTAGAAAGTGGAAAAGGCTAGAAAACAGATCCACCCCTGGGGCCCCAAGAAGGAACCCGCAAATATGTTGATTACACACGAGGTCAGTGAGACCTATTCAGATTTCTGACCTTCGCCACTGTAAGACAATAAATTTGTGCTGTTACGAGCCCCTAAGTCTGTGGTAATTTGTTATAGCTGCAGTAGGAAACTAATAGATGAATACAAACATTTAAAAAATAAAGAAAATAAGTCACTCGTAATCCATCACTCAGAAGAAACTCAAGGTTTTCAATATCTACAGTCAACTAAGAACTAGACTGATATCTGAAGGCACTTAGGGTGAATGCTGCCATGTCCACTTGAAAAGACCCTATAATTTTACTGGCTAAAAGGGCTGCAATGCCCTGTGCCCAGATCTGGGTTTCCAAATACTATTCTTCACTGAAAGCAAACAGCTCCACGGAGAAATGAATGATTTCAGGTTTTGAGTAGGAAAGATGCAAGG